GAGGGCAGTGTCACTGGCCCTCATATGTGGGATCTGAACCGGGGCCCTCTGGCGTCCCAAGCCAGCTCTTAACCAACATGCAACTCGGCCGGCCCTCTAGTGGATTTAGGATTTAAACCCAGGCCTGGGCTCCAAACCACAATGTGGTCACCCTGCTTGCTAGTTTTTGTGGGGTTTTCTTTCGTTGTTTCATTTCTAGTCTAAACTAGCAGTGATTTTGTCTCTGTTTTCTGCCATTTTTTAATTGTGTGCTTCAAAGTCCAGAGTGTGCCTTCCGTGTAGCGTCTGCCTGCGTATGTTGGTCAGGCGCCCCCTCCCCACTCACTTGCTCATATCGCTTCCCTTGTATGCTGACCTCTAGCTTGCTCTCTCTTTCAGTGTGGGATTTGCAGTAAACCGATGGGTGAGCTCCTGGACCAGATCTTCATTCACCGCAACACTATCCACTGTGGGAAATGCTATGAGAAGCTCTTCTAGGTGGGTGCGGGCACCCCAAAGGCCAAGCAGCAGGGATTATTATAGGGAAGAAAAGTGCCCTGATCTCTGTCTCAACCCAGGACACTAGTCCTTACGTTTAGGGGACCCTGAGTCCTCCTATGCCCTATGACACTTAGAAATCTTAGGGGGAAAGACCCTCCCCAGGGACACTTCCAATTTGTAGGGGTTGTAGTCTCTTCCTCTTGAGAAGCACCTTCTGTGCAGTGCCTCAGCTGAGTCCTCTATCTACCCTGGGAAGCCAGCCGAGCCTGTGTTGTTAGCCTCACTGGGGGACAAGGAAATAAAGACCTAGAAAGGAAAAGGGCCTGGAGAAACACCTGGTTTGCATATGGCAGAATCAGAACCTCAACCCCGGACTTTGCATTCAGGTCCAGGGCTCTGCTACAGGCCCTTGGGCCACCTTCACCATTGTTCATATAGCATCAGATCAGAATTCAACAGCTGACGTGTTCAGTTAAGCAAGATACAGCTGGGGGGCCAGCAGCAGGTAGAGGCGAGGGTAAGCAGGTATGTGTGGGAGGGGATGGTGCCATTCTGGGGCTGGCCCAACCAGGAAAGGCTGCTTGGGCAGTCCTTTGCCATATTGTTAACAATGCCTGAAGACAGGTTCGCATACTACAAGCCAGCAGAATCTACCCCAGTGTCTGAACTGCATGAGACCCAGTGCCCATAGGACACTGCCTTTTCAGATCCCGGCAGCCCCTCCCCGTTAGCACCTCCTCAGCTAGAAGCACAGGGCATAGTATCTCCCTTGAAGGCAATGGGACTTGGTCACAACCAAGAGTTCCACCAGCTACAAGCCTGTTCTGCCTTCTCTCCAGAAGACACATTGTCCTGGGCTGTTGATGCCTGGAGCAGTCACCCACCCCAAGAGCCTCTGACTGGTCATTGGATTGGATTTGTATTTTCGATCTCATGGCTACCTGTAATTTCTTTTAGCTCCCTGGGGCTGAGAAGAAGCTGATGACTCCTGGACAAGTTTGACCGTCCCCAGTTGTCCTGAGTTGCTGGCTCCCTTTCCCTCACTTCCTCCCCATTTGATTTCTTCGTGCTTTTGCTCTTCGTGAGTTCAACTGTCTTACATCTAGTGGTGTATCTGAATGATGCTACGATAATTACTTGTGTGTGTAGCCTTTTATAGCTTAGAAAGCACTTCACAGCCATCATCTTATTTCAGGCTCAAGCAAAGAGGATTGAACAAGAATTCCGTCTTTGCTTCCCTAAGGCATGTCAGCTTCCTGATGAGTTTAGGTGGCCTGATATGATAAGCATAGGCAGGAACATTGGATTCAGTGCATCCTGACTTGGGACAGAGAGCTAATCACATTTTGGTTCGTAACTATGAGTGTACCTTCGGAACTTGAGAATAGAAGGAGACCCCTGAAGACTGTTGACGATCCCTGGTGGGTAAATTGCAGACATTGGATGCTAGGGATTGGCATAAGCCAATTTTTTTAGCTTGTCTATTTGTCTTATATACATCTTTAAACTTTCCACGTACTTTTGAAAGTAGTTAGTTGCTTTTGATTGAGTTGTGTAGCAGATTTTAATGACCTCCTTCTACCCACCTTTCACTGTAGTTGAGGTTTTTTTTCCTGCAGGCATGGGGGCATGTATTAGGTTTAAATTCTATAGGATGTGATTCTTAGGAGGCTACTGACCAAAGAGACATCTGTGTCTGAATCTCGATAACTGATTAATACCTTTGCCCTCAATTCCCAATCCCTAAGCTTTACACAGAAACCTTCTAAAGTAGCTTTTAGAGAACATACAGTCCAGCAGGATTAAGAAGGGAGATAAGCAGCTAACATTTCTTGAGACCTTACTACATACCAGACGTTATCACAAAGTGATGACATGAATCCCCGTACTAATTTTGTGCAGAGGGTATTCTTGTCCCCAGTTTACAGATGAGGATATTGAGGCTCAGAGAGGTGATCATTGCCTCATGCAGAACCATTGCTGTCTCTCTCCAGTAACAGTAACCACAATAACCAGCATTGATTTAGTGCTGAGTATGTGTCAAGCCCTGTGCCAAGGTTACCTAATCCTACCAGTTAACACCCCCCACACACACACACACACACACTCACACTCAGGCCTCTCCTGAGGCACACTCTAACAAAGAGGGGGATGTGTGAAACCACACTCCTCCTCTGTGAAGTACCTGGGTCCCCCTGTGAAGTATTACAAAGGTTACACTGACACCCCACTCCCGCTCCTCCCCTTTCCATGAAAACACTTCTCAACTGAGATGCTCTCAGCTGGGAAGAGATTTGACTCAGAGACCTTCCCCAAAAACGAGTTTGTCAGCCCAGGGAAAGCTCCAGTGGGCTAGCCAATCTGAGCACAGGGTCTTCAGTGACCTCCTATTTTCCAGTCTAGACTCTGTCCCGAGCTAGTGGAACATGGAAACCTGTGGCTCACTGGACAGATGCAGGGCCATGCATGCAGTCAGCTGATGCTCTGCTCAGGTTTGCCTGGGCTCCTCTGCCTTTGGGGCCAGCATCATTGTGTAAGCTCCTTGAGAGGAGGTACAACCTCAGAGTGTTTATAATGAAAAGTGAGGGCCTCTTCTCTTGATTTAATTAGAAAATATTTCTCCATCTCTCCAGTTTCTGAGCCCTGTGCACATTTGCTGGTGGACTTGTTCTTATCGCCAAATGATCAGAGTGGAACATTCCATTCATTTGCATAGATGTGCATCAGATTTGCTCTGGAGGGGAAAAGTGGTACAATGTGCCGTGTACCGACACTAAATAAAAGCTGGTCTTCCTAGAGTCTATAAACTGCAGCATGGGACTTGGCACATGGTAGATACTGACACACAGGTGCTAAATGAATGAGCAAATGGGAAAGAAAGGTCGTTCCTTTGGGTGGGAGGTGCCATCCCTGAGTCTTGGTACAGGTCCACCTGATGGAGTGCAGGAAAAAGAGGTCCCAGATAGGTTGGCTTCCCCACCTTCAAGATACACTCTGCCTTTAAGGGAGTTTTAGAACCAACATGCAACATACTGACAGAAAACTTGCAAGATCAATATTGATTTCAGTCCAAAACAATCTGTTTTCGATTCTAAAAAGGCATGGAATTCTGCAGACTCTTGTAGGAAGGGGGGTGGCTGCATTACACTTTTGCTTCTTTTTAATTGCCTAATGTTTTTAATCATACTTGCTTAACCCACATTAATGTACACAATTATAATAAATGTTAAGATATTACATAGTCATTATTAAGGTGTCCTTTTTTAAGTGTAATTGGTATATTTGGCTGTGTGATTTATTTTCTCCTGTTGCCTGAAGCCATTCTCTCAACAAAGGCATTTAAATGCTTTTAAAAGTATCAAATCTAAAGAGAAAAAAATAGAAAGATCTAGAAACTATGCATGCACAAGAAGTGGGAATTCTTGACTTGTCAGATCTTAGTGAAGAATATTCTTTTGGGTCTATCCTCTCCTTCATGACCATTGCAAACAAATGGCCACCTAATCCTTATTGCACACTTGGAATGACCAAGAGCACAGTCTCTTACAAGCCCATTCTGTCTGTGGACAGGCCCACTTATTTTTTCCTCCTCTCCCCTCCCCACTCCCCGCTTTCATGTCAAACCGTTGTTCTCAGTCTAGTTGTGGAGGATGCAGCTCACTGGCTCATGTTGGTATTATGAGCCTTGCGCTCTTCCCAGGTGAGGCAGTCGGTCGCCAGCTGCCAGCCACTTACAGCAGCCCACGGCAGCCCAGCTCCAGGTTGAGCTGTTGTTAACAATCTTAGCTGTAAAGGGTGCAGCTTACAGCCCATGTGGGAATCAAACCAGCAACCCTGTTGTTCAGAGCACATGCTCTAACCAACTGAGCTATTCGGCCACCCTAACAGGCCCAGTTTTAGAAAATACATTCTTCAGTTGACAGTTTTAGAAAATACATTCTTCAGTTGACAGTTTTAGAAAATACATTCTTCAGTTGAGTTCTGTTTCCCTTTATCACCCACCAGTAATCTATAATCCCTCTCTTATGTGCCAGCCCCTAAAATAGATGAAGATGCTTATCAGGTTCTCCCTTTGTCAACTTGTTTCCCATTTAAACACCCCTGGTGTAATTAACTCTCATTTAACAGTAATTTTGAATGTGCATCTTCAAACATCCTCCTCAGAGGTGCCCTCCCACACACATCTGAACCCATTCCCCCAGATTTGTACCAGTGGGCAAGGCTGTTTCATATTGCTCATTAAGGCCAATGCCCCAGAATGTCAGAATCCTGTTGAACCCTCATTCTGCCTATCAAGTGATCCATGCTTATGAGCTTTATATCTAAAAAATACAGTTTGCATGCCATCTATGTCTTGATCCAGCCCAGGGACAAAAATGGGTGACCAAGACATCAGTCCAAAGATAGATGACATGACAGAAATCTCTCCACTACTGAGCAGGGACCTTAGGACCCAGTGTTCAATAGCTATTCAACTAGTGTCCCTGTAGCTACCTTCTCATTCCAATCTCAGCCACTGTCGGCTACATGAGTATAATTGGGAAAGGAAGAAGAGATTTTACTACTTCAAAAAACAAGAAGTACAGCCATAGTGCCTAACTAGATATTTCCAGGACTCTTGTTAGTGACAGTATGGCTGCCCTAAAAAACAAACAAAAAAACGTAAAAACCCTAAGAAAAGAATAGGGCAGTGTTAGTCACTTTAAATTGTCAGGTCATATCTGATTCTGTGAGCATCATTCTCAAATACAGCATTTCAGTCAAAGCCTTGTTATATAACCAATGTTTCCAATTGCACCCTGTTAAGAAGAAGAACAGGTTCTTTTTGAACCTAGGCAAATAATTGTATTGCCATGAAAATAAGAATCCTCAAAAACCCTACATAATTTATTCCTGCTCTGCTCAGCCGTGGGGTAGCAGTCTCAAGAACCCATCAGCTTCACTAGAGTTCTGGAAATTCTGGCTCAGTCCAGTGGTAGGATCTCAAAGCTATTTAAGCAATGCCATCAGAAGCCTGTACCCCCAGAGCACCTGGAATCGCCCTTTCCATGGGGGTCGGAGACAGTCACTTTTTCTGGAAGATGAAGCACTCTGGCCTGTAGTTGGTTGCAAGCGCTTTCAGGAAAGACTCAGTGTAAAACAAAACAATTATCTGTGAATGACTTACAATGCCCATGGTTAAAGATATGATGAGAGTTCATTACAAAAATCATGCAATTGACAAAGAAATTTGGTTGTTTCTGTGGCATGCAACACTTTAGAAGTCCCACACACTATCCATTGCTATGGAGCCACCTTGTGGCATGGAAAATTTTAAAAGATAACTAGAATTATGACTGATAATGCTATATGGTTGTTTAATAGCCGGCAAAGCAGGGCCGGCCGAGTGGCGCAATGGTTAAGAACTCGCTTGGGATGCCAGAGGGCCCCGGTTCGGATCCCACATATGCGGGCCAGTGACACTGCCCTCTGCAGCTAAGATGCTGAACAACAGCTCAACCTGGAGCTGGGCTGCCGTGGGTCACCGGCGACGGCGTGGGTTGCAGCCCCTGATGCAGTGAGTTGCCATGGGCTACCGT